GCGGCCTCGGGCGGGGCGCGCGGGCCCCGCCCGCCGCAGGACTCGCAGCACAGCCTGTGGTAGCCGGGGATGGAGCAGTACCGCGCCAGCACCTCCATCTGGCAGAATATGGACTTGTCGCCCAGGCACGGCTCGTCTGCGGGAGTCGGACAAACGGACACGGAGGCGTGAGCGTGCGGCGGCAAACTGACCGGGGTGATGACTATGAAAGGTTTAAGTCGAGTCAGACACCCATGGGTGTCGTCCGTAGGAACCTCTGCATTTAGAAATGTCAGCATCAGGATGAATTCACCGAAATAAGTAGCTATTTCTGGGCAAAACGCTTGGGTTGGCCACCTTTTTAATATCTCCGAAAGGAGTCTTCCGAGTGAGGGTATTTTTTGTTCCTACTAGGGACATATATCTGATTTTCTAATGAGAAAATAGGATTAATTTTACCACAAATATGTTTAGGATATAAAGAATCATCTGGTTTACTTTATTTTATGGTATTTCTGTCTTTCTAATAGAGCAGCCTCTATAGTAAATTTAAAATCAAAATATATACTAAAGACTGGGTATAACAAATGAAATCTTAAAAATGTATTACCAAAGAAAACGTCACGATAACATCTTGATTAGACGTATCATTGGGTAATACTATATTGCTAGGTAAGGAACCTGTCATATAACTTGTCAAAGAAATTGAAGAATCTTTTTTCTAAACTTTGGGGAAAAAAATAAAAGAATGGTCAGTTGGCAAGGCCAATAGGAGGGCTAAAAATGCCACCTTTACTTACTATGTACTAGAAAGGATAAATTTACATATTAGAGTCACAAAATCATGCTCACGTCCCAAATGTGGACTTATATTTGCCCGATGCTTACACATCTATTATATAGTATGATGTGTTTGAGTATTTTATGTTAGCTAAGGTAATCTTCTAATTATGCTGTGAATTCCTGAGAATCACCTTAATGGGCCTCACCTCAAATATCATCAATTCCTCATCAGATCTAAATGATTCTTCCCATGCCTATACCTTCTAATAAGGAAATTAATTTCTTCTTCCTGTGTGATTATGGCTCTAGGCCCTAGGATAATAGACCTTATCTGACCCTGAGCTCTCTTTTCCCCAACTCCCCACCTCCATCACCCTCGTTCTGGCTCCAAGTCTTTTAAACCTTCTAAATTATGTAGCCCAGCTCAAAGCGCTCTATTCTCTTTGAGTTCAAGACGGGGACCATATGGGTCTCCCGTCTCTAAGCGCGAGCAGCCTGGCATTGCAGGCGCGGGCTGTAAGTATGGCCAAAATATGCTTCTGTATGGAAGAGGGAAAAGAGAGAGAGATTTTGGGGGAAAATAAGATCAAAAGAATCCATTCATTTTATGGGTAATTTGCCTCTGGATAGCTGGGAAGGGCTTAATGACAACGATAAATAGTGCAATCAAAATGGGGCCCGGGAAAGGATTCATATGACAAAATAATTACAATTAAGAAAGCTTTTCAGTCTTCTCACTCCATGCCCAGATCATCATAAGAAGTTCAGAGCCAGCATTTTATGCAGCGTCTCAAAAGGCCATTTGATTCTAATTGCAGCTTGAGACGCTGATGGGAAGCATTACCTACTCAGTTGATACATGGTAGAAATATGGGGCCTTTCAGAGCTCTCAGAATTCCACCTTTCAGAACAAGAGAGCAGCTAAAAGGATGCGGAATCTCCGACATTATGTTCTCTCGCCAGCACCTCTGTTTTACAATAAAACATTTTCTTTTGGCTAAAGGAAGAGCATTGAGCAATTCTTGATGATAATCAGGCAGATTTTCAGAAGTATATAGTTTTATTAAGATCAATAAAGCTTACTCACAAAGTGTTTAGCCTCCTGGAGGAAGTGCCTACATAAGAATAAACTATTAGGGCAACTAAATTTTATAGCTTCTGATTAAAGTTTGTTCTTTTGGATTTGACTTGCATTTTGAACTTTCAAATAGGCTTTCCCGGGAAAGAAGATGAAATATATCAGTCCTTTGTCTCCCCCTGATGGTCAGTCTTGTTCATGCCGCTACGCATTCCAAATGCAAATGTATAATGAAATAATTTATAAGGTTTCAAAGATCTGAAGCTTGACATTTCCTCAAAAAATAAGACCTTTTTTTTTTTTTTTGATAAAACAGTGATTTGCAAATTTTCTTGGAGAAAAACCCCACAGACCACCATTTAGCACATGTCAATATTCAATCAATGGTTTACTTATGATGTTTTGGGCCATTACAAAGGCAACTTTGTCAGTCCCGAGCCTCACTAGTGCGCCCGCAGTTGTCTTTAGGCACAGACTCAGTGGAACTGCATTCCCGGGGAAGCTTGTCGTGGGGGGGGCAAGGGGAGAAGAGCAGGGACAGAAGGTGTGAGACTGGGGCAGAGAAGGGAGAGGAAGGCACACTGGTAGAGAAGGGGGGAGGGGTAAAGGAGAGTCCGGAGNATAAGAGCACGTTGATCCAATCCAGAGCTCCATGGCTGGCTAACGCATACAGCTCTGCACTAATTGGCAAGCAAGAAGAGGCACGTGTCAAAGAGGATCATTTCCACTCCACCACTCTACTATTTTATACTTTTCAGAAGCTCTCCTGAGAGAAAAATGTTTATGAAAGCTTCCCCGAGAGTCTACCCATTCTACGACATCACTGGATCTTATGCCATACCATAGTCTCATTGAGTAATTTAGCAAAAGTTATGAGTTCTCCCTGTACCAAACAAACACAAAGTGAACATACAACTTAGGAAGGTGGAAGGCGGAGGGGAGAGAGTCATGAGACCCCTGAAGTTAATCCACGGGCTGAAGTCTAAAAAGCTCTGCTCTATAAACTCTAAAATCTATCCCTGAATTAAGCAAGGCCATCAGGGCGCCACATGGATGGAAGCATCACATTGGCTTTGTCCTGAAATGCTTACTCTAAGCTGTGCGCTTCACAAGTCCACTTGCTTTTGCTGAGGCACAGGAGGAGGAAGAGCCTCTGTTATGGTAAAGAAGATGATGGGACTGTGCTTAGATACACAGGGTTTCTATATCTGAGAATCGAGGGGAGACTTCTGCCTCTCTAGTCTCAGCTCTGCTCCTCCTGAGCATTAAGCTCTTTTTTTAACCTCATGGAAATGGACAGTTTTATAAGTCTTATGTTTCTTTCCCCATGGCTGCTAGAAAATTAATGGTATACTTCTAGCATGTATTTAAGTCTCGTTTCTGACTCCATTTGATTTTAATTGTTCTTTGCCTTATTTTCATTATAGTGTTAATTTGTTCTATGTTGCCATGTTGTATAGAAACTCCTCTGATATCTTTTAGAAGATAGCAATCTATAAATGAGTTACATTGTAGGAGACAGAAGGAAAAAAAGACATATTTTCCACCTGCATTCCCACTGGTTATCTATCGAAGTGTACCTACCTAAATAACTTCCTAAAATACTCTTGTTATTTGTGTGTGTGGGGAGGGGGAGTGTCAGTGAGAGCTACAAGTATTTGAAAGGTAGTACTTATTCAGAAAACTCATACTGGAAGAATATTTTAGAATTCTTTTTGATTAACATAACGTGTATATATGTTTGCACCTATATGTGCATTTTTAAAGTAACCATAAAGTATGGTTATGAAAGCATGGCACAGACTGATAGATCTTGGGGAGAGGGGAGAGGGGAGAGGGGAGAGGAGAGAGGAGAGAGGAGAGAGGAGAGGAGAGGAGGGGGGTGAGGAGGAGAGAGGGCTGGGAGAGGGGAGAGGGGAGAGGAGAGAGGAGAGAGGAGAGGAGAGGAGGGGGGTGAGGAGGAGAGAGGGCTGGGAGAGG